GCAGGTTGGTGGAAGTGTTACTATGGCTAACAATGAAGTCTGCAAAACAGTTGGTATAGGGTCCATCAGAATTCGGACTCATGATGTTAAACTCTGTATGTTGAATATAGGTGATCAACAATGGCCGGGCCCGCTAGCCCGGCCCGATTCGACCCGAAAATAGGGCGGGTTTGGACAAGCTAAAAACCAATTTTTTAGTTAAAAGCTCAAACCTGGCCCGAAAAAGCATGTTTTGGCCCAACAAGCCCGCCACTTTTGGCGGGTTTGGGCATGACATTTGATATTAAGGCCCGGCCCAGCCCGAATTTATGATCATTTCTAATGTTGAACAATGTCAGGCATGTTCCACAGATCACGGGGAATCTGATTTTGCTTAGTCTTCTTGACAGAAAAAGGTTCAGTTTCAAAGGTGAAGGTAGATGGTTATATGTCTACAAGGATTCAAAGGTAGTTTTGAAAGGTATTAAACGGGAGACATTATATGTGTTGCAAGGGTCTACGTTATCTGGTGCTAACTCTGCTGCTGTCACATCATCTGTTGTGGTATTATTAAGAAGCAAGTGGAGCATAAAGTCCCTATAGGTGGGGGTGATAGTCCACATCTGGGAAAGATCAGTCAACACTCACACTCTGAGTCTAAATCTGAAGCATCGCAGTCTTCGCCATTGAAACCGGGTCAGCCTAGTTTGGCTCCTTGTCGGCATGTAATCTTTGGGAACTCTCCCCGAAGGCACAATTGAGAATACAAGGTGGCTTTTGCATTATCAGTTGGAGAGGTGGATATATCTCAGCTGTCCAAGGGAGGTATTGCTTGTGCTCAGAAGAAGCATTGGCAAGCTTTCTATTCGAATCTAGTTCTGCATAGTAAGTCTCAAGGTTGCTTGGACTTACAAACTGTACGAATCTGTTAGTAGCTCTTAGGGGCTAATCTGGTGCCCGACAGGGCAAATCTGGTCTAGTGCTCAACGGAGCAAATCTGGTGCCTAGTAGAGGCAAATTTGAGCAAGGAGAGTCTGTTTTTGGTTATCTATTTCTGTTATATCAGTCCGTTTTTGGTAAATCTGGCATTGTGATCAATGCGTCTGGTACATCAAGTCAAGGTGAGATTTGTTAGAAATATGCCTTGAATATGCTTTCGAGTCTTGGATTTGTGAGCGGTAGCTTAGTAGTTTGTTGGCAAGGTTGAAGGTTGCGACGAAATTGGAGCTATAGCTTGCATAGGTATTTAGGTGTGGCTGGGTCGAGCGAGAGCTCGGGCGCGCGAAACACTTGGAGTCGTGCGCGACTGGCGCGCACAAGTCTGAAATTGCGCACGAAGTGAGGCGGTCATCGTTTTCTACGCGTCTATCTTATTCTGGAGTGCTATATATACCCCCTCTAGGGTTATTTATAGCCGTGTGATTGTGTCATTGAGTGTTATTTAGAAATCTGAGAGTCTTTTGTGTATTTCTCATCTGTGAGATCTGGTAGAGATAACATTAGAAATCCAAGAGACAATCAATCTGTTTTATGTGATTGGCCTCAAATCTGTTCTAAATCTGTTTTCTATTTTCCCCAAGATCAATAAAACTATTTCTCTCACCTGCTCGTGGACGTAGCCAACACATTGTTGGTGAACCACGTAAATCTGTGTGTTTTTTTCTTGTCAATTTTACATTTAATATTTGTTCTTTCTTGCATCCGTTATAACATCTTCAAAATTACTTGCTTAATATAATAAAATTTCATTGTTACATAAAAAGAAGGTTTCTACAATTGTACCTAAATTATGACTTTTACTTTGTACAAAATCTTAAATAAATTTTCTTAAATATCAAATAACCCATCATAAATATTAAATGTGTTTAATTATATTCTTTCGCATATCTCTAATTTTTAAAAATATATTTCATTCTTTTAATATTAGATGAATCTATTCATAATTTTTATATTGTACCATTATTTTTTTGTCAAATTTATTGTCATTATAAATATTTAGCGACCGTGCATTGCACAGGGATTAATCTAGTTTATGCTATTGTCAAAAAAATTGTTCGCTTGAACTACAATAGAAATAATCTAACATACTGTAGTACATTCATACATTATTTTTATCAATATTGACATTCATATATATATGATTAAAGAAAACCAACTAAAACCTTCCTATAATTTAGGGGAAAAAAGAGGGAAATTGAAGGGATTTGGGAGCAAGAGAAAGATTAATAGAGATTTTTGCTTAAATAATAGTTTTAGATTACTTGATAAACTAATTATCTAATTATTCTTTCAGAAAAAAATTAATCATCTAATTAAGCCTTGACAGAAGCAATCAACTGATTAGAGATCTTATGATCAGCTTCAATAAAAAAAATCCCAGAAAAGATAGGAGGAGGTATAGTAATTCCATCCTTACTAATTGCAAAATTAATAGTCCTTAGATTCTTAATAATTACGTTCCTAATTAAACTCCTAGTATCAATTAACTTTTTCTTCCCAACTTGTTCACCTGCTTTGGCACCTGCATCTATAATAGCCCCAATATTAGCGCTAACTGTTAGCACCGCATCCCTCGTACTGGAATCAATTTTTCCGTGTTTTAGTATTTTGTTCACATCTTCCTTGAGCTTTTTAGCATCATTAACCAAGCATCCGAGCATTTGTTGGATGACATCTACGTCGATTTTAGAATGTCTGCTATCGCTCATTAAGCAGCTAAGGCATACCTTTGGGGCGTATGTTGCACCGCACATTTTGTTGACTAGTCGACGGCATGTGTGAAAGCGATTAGGCAAAGGAGAGAAATTAGTAGTGTCAAAATCATGGAGTTTTGGTCATTATAAGAAGCCATTATATAAGTTTTGGTGAATGAGATCTACTTAATTCGTAAATTTAATTAAAAATATGGAATATGCATGCATTATCAAATTAATATGAACTCTAATTACTAAATTAAAGTAGATGAAATCATGCAATTAATAGGGAGGTAAAGATATATTGGGTTAGATACAGTAATGGGCGTGCACAACTCACGTCAAGCCAAAGATAAACTCATGATTACATTTTTGTGAGATCAAAAATCAATAATTTTCTTTTAATCCATTTTAAATCTCTAAAATAAAAACTCCCTTCATGAGTAAATACTTTAATTTAGCAATCGTGGTATTATAATAGGGCAGTGTTTGATCGATTCCTTTTATAATACTCGTAGTTGTATCATTACTATCGCCAAGTAGAAGCAATAGTTATACTTCACATTCTCACATAATATGTTAGTTTTTCCAAACATTCCGAAAATATTGTGAGACGATGCAAGGAAATTTGCAAATTTATATAATTAATGAATGAGAATTCAAAGCATGGAATTTTCAAAAAGCTTGGTGGTATTTGGTGAAAAAGTTGTAAATTATATCTTCCCATACAAATTATATTATAGGAAGGACAAATTAATAAATTTTATATCATTTGACTCCTTTTAAAATAAGTCATTTATTACGGAACAATATTGTCAATATGATAAAATCAATATTATTAATTTATTTTTCTTGGGCATAACAATCTAATAAACCTTAAATCACATCTTAACAAGTACTCATGAACACTCGTTAGACAAACCGACTACTTGATCGATAAACTTAACTAATTAAACCTTGACAGAAGCCATCAACTGATCAGAGAGCTTATAATCAGCTTCCACATTAAAAAGGCCAGAAAAAACGGGAGGAGGAATACTAATTCCAGACGAACTAAGCGCAGAATTACAAGAATGAAGATTCGCATAAATTACGTCGCGAATTGTTGACCTAGCATCTTTAAAATCTCTATGAGCAACTTGATCTTGTACTGTGCCACCTTGAATTATAATAGCCTGAATCCATGGGTTGATATGTTGTAAGGTCTCTCTTGTCTTCGGATCCGTGTTATCATCGTCGAGTATTTTGTTCACGTCTTCTTCGAGCTGCGTAGCATCATCATCCCCGCATCCAAGCATCCCTTGGATGACATCTACGTCGGTTTTAGCATCTTGGCCATCGCCCTTTATACAGCTAATGCATGCATTTGGCACGTTTGTTGCGCCACACATTTTGTTGATTAGTGTATCGTTGTCGGCGCCATGTGTGAAAACGTTAAGGCAAAGGAGAGAAATTAAAAGGGGAAATATCACGGAGTTTTGGTTGTAAGAGACCATTGTATTTTTTTTTTGTTCTTGAGAGGATTAGCTAGGTTTTGGAGATCCTTCTAAAACGTATGTTTTGTATTAAAAGTTTTTATGAGAGTTTTACATGCATTATATTTATATTATTATTAGATAGGAAAATTTAATTAAATAAAATCATGTAATATATTGGAAGATAAAGATACATAACATACATTAGTATAATTTAGGTACAGTATAATTATATTAACCTAAGATATCCTTATGATAGGGTGTTTAATCGATTTATTTCAAAAAAAAAAAAAAAAAGGTTGTATTATTTCTATGTCCGTCAAAAATTAGTTGTCATAATTCACATATATACACAATAATTGATTCATTTTTAGATATTCGATCGGAAAATATTGTCACATTTACTAATTTAAGAGTGGTATAGAAAATTTTCATGCTCTCCCTATTGAACGATCTATAAACAAGTGATGCTATACCTTTACCCTAAACTTGTCAGATCGTCTTCAATACATAAGATCTTACAAGTATGAGGTAAAGAAATGATAAAGTGGGTTGATTTTATCGGATATCAAATCAGATCACACCCAATCGTGTTTAATCGAGCCATAATTTCACTCAAATCTGACCAAACTTGCTAATTCATCAGTACTTGGTCATGATTCGTTAAAAAGCCGAACATCCAAAAGAGTATCAAACTTGTTACTTCTGACTTATTGTATTAAAGAGAGAGGTTAATTTGCTGAAATAGTCAAGTTTTAATTTGCTTAATTTGCTGATGTTTTGTTTCACTGTGATGGCCGTATGAGTGTTGAGATTTTACGTATAAAAGTATTATTTTAGCAGAAACATCAACTAAACAACTGTTAGCCTGTTACTAAACATAAATGAAAATTAACCATTACATCAGTCTAACAAAATATTACATTGTTCTTTGATTGCAATGTAACAAACTCGGGCTCAACTAATTAAGTCTTTTGCTTAGGCCTGTTCCTTAGGAATTTTCGAGCCTGAATTGTGAGGCTGTTGTACATGGCTTGATTCGGCCAAAAAGTTCTTTTGCTCTGCCAAATTCTGTAGTATAGGTGAAATCGTCGAACATTATTATGTATTGGTCTTTTTTTAAAGGCTATATATATAGGATGCTGAAGACACATATAACAGGCATTACATTCAGCTACTTACATAGTCTGCACTATAACAGTACTCCTCCTCTCATTCAGCTACTGAGTACTGACATTATTATCTGCATTCTCCTTGCCAGTCTCACCGATGACCCTACTCCAAAATCGATGCTCCTTCCATAACAGATCAATCTTCTCAAGGGGCACATTCTTAGTCTCGGGCAAGAACAAGTGTATAAAAGCAGTCATCAACACAATCCACCCCCCGAAGAAGAAGAAAGTTCCAGCCTTCAAGTGGCATAATATAGACAAAAGTGTTTGTGCAACAAGAAAGGTGAATATAAAGCTGAGAGACACAGTTATACCTTGAGAAGCAGAACGTATCTCGAGTTGAAATATTTCACTTGGCACCAACCATCCTAGAGGACCCCAAGAGAAACTAAAACCAGCACTGTAAATGCACAAAAGGATCAAAACTATGTAGGAATATCCTGAACTTAAACTGCCATAATCTCCTAGCTTTGCTGAGAGTATACTTCCCACAACTATAAATGGAACTAACATTGCTACACCACCCCAGAAAAATAAACTTCTTCTCCCAAATTTGTCAACTGTTATTATTGAGAAAACATCTGCAGCAATCTGTACAACCCCAATTACCACTGATGAGAGAAGGGATGCAGACTCACCAAACCCAATGGTGCGAAAGAGTACAGGAGCATAGAATCCCACCAAATTGATTCCCGTCATTTGTTGGAAGAACGGTATTGCTATTGCCATCACGAGCTGAGGTCTGTATTTCTGCCGGAAGAGTAAATCATTGAGGGGGTGGTTAATGGATTTCGAGGTTGATGATGCCTCTATGAGCTCATTGAATTCTTCTTGGACATCAGTTGTACCCCTTATTCTTTGTAAGATAAGCTTTGCCTTTTGGTGATCCCTTTGGATCAAGCTGTTTGGGGTTTCAGCGAGGAAAAATGAGCCCAAAGTTACAACAAACGCTGGCAGTGCTGTCACAGCTATTGAGACTCTCCATCCCCAGCCGCCTTTTATCTTTGCAGTCCCATAGTTGACCAAGGATGCTAAGAGTATGCCAACGGAAAGACTAAAGTGGAAACCGTTGTTGAATGCTCCCCTGTATTTACTTGGTGCTATCTCTACCAGATACATTGGAATTACCTGCAGAAAAATTTGGACTAGATGACCACAGTACTACCTTTATAATCTACTATATCATGACCAACTTACTTACCTGGTTTGCAAAGCCAACACCAATTCCAAGTAGGACGCGGCCTAATATGAGCATGTAAACATTAAGAGCTCCGCCACTTAGAAAGGAACCAGCAATTACTGCTATACCTCCAACCAGGATTGATAGCTTACGTCCAAAGGCTTTGGTCATCGACGAGGCAAACAATGAAGCAAAAAGGCCAGCAAAGTATAAAGATGAGGTGAATGAAGTTAACAGCTCACTATCAAATTTACAGTAGTTGCTGATTTTTGTGTCTTCTTTCATCTTAATGTATACATGTGGGAAGAATTTTTTCAGAAATGGATCCATTGATGTAACTCCACCTTCACATTGACATAAAATACTTCATTAGCTTAATGTAAATTCTCTACTCTGGTTACATATATACTGGTTACATATATACTACTTTCTGATTTCACAAAATCGACCCGTAGCCAATACACAACCTAAACTACCTGACCCAAACCCAAGATTCAATCAGAACACATAACCCAAAAATTAATGAGAGTAATATTGATTGAATCAAAATTAATAAGCTAATCTCCAATAGACCAGCACATGATCTGAATAAACCCAATCCAAACAACCCATTAGCGACCTCCACCTATAATAATGAATGATTTGATGAAGGTTTATTATCTACACTTCAGGCTTTGTTCAGCATAACAGTATAGCACTACTTATCAAATTAAAGTGTTGCCTTAGTTTTAGATTCTTCCCTCAGTTCTGTGAATTGTGCCAGACTGATATATGACAATACAAAATCTTCTACAGAATAAAACTTTACAGTCATGATATAAAGGTTACGTAAAACATTGAGATATTATACATATACCTGATACACCAATGTCATAGCCAAAAATGGCTCCTCCAAGAGCAGCAATTATGCAGGAAAAGATAACAAAACAGGTTATTTTTCCATTGAACTGCACATTAGGATCACTTGTTATAGTTATTCCTCCTGCCATTATCAATGAAAAACAGAAAAACAGACCGACAGAGTCTATAACACCCTAAACAAAATTGTTTTCATCCACTAAATTGTTAGGGTGTGTAGTTGTGTACCAGACTTTTCTACAGATATTGATAGTGGGGACAAAAGTGGACTGGGAAATCCATGCCAGAAAAGTAGTGGTGGGATTATTGGAATTCAAGGACACCAGCCATTTTGATTGGACATGATTTTTCATTAGTAAGGCCAATGAAAATATATGATATGACATAAATTAACAGCAATAAAAGAGATGAATAAACCCAAAAAAAAGGGGTGGGGGGGTGTGGGGTAGCTTCGCGGTGTGGACGCGAGTTGGGTGGAGTGGAATTCGGATCTTGGTGGTGGTGGTGAGAGGATTGAGATGGCAGGTTTCGGGTATGGGTTTTTGGATGGTTTTGGTGGGTTGGTTGGTGGTTGGTATGGTGTTTTTCTGTCTTCGGTGGGTTGGTATGGATGTTTTCGGTGGGTTGGTATGGGTGTTTTCGGTGTTTTTGGTGGGTTGGTATTGTGGTTTGGTTGGTAGGTATGGCGATTTCGGTGATTTTGGTTGTTGGTATGGTGGTTTCTGTGGTGGCTGTTGCTGGTGGTGTACATAGGTGGTGGTGCAGTGGGTGGAAGTAGTGGTGGTGAAGGTTAAGGTGTAGGTGGCGATAATTCCGGCGGCATTGAAGGTCGCTGACGCCGAGGGAATTGGTTGGCCGCTGGTAGGGGAGGGGGCTGGCTGTGGTGGGAAGGGTGGTTTTGGTTTTTTTTTTTTTTTTAAAAAAAAATTATTAAAATTTAAAAAAAAAAAAAAAAAAAACTTCACCAACAATTTAATGACAGGTGGAATTTTACCTGGTATAATAGGTAAGGTAACCTGTTTGGTCCATTTTGGGAGAAAAATATTAAACTTCTGTCTAATATGGGCATATTTAAAGGGTAGTCTAATAGGGAAGAACTGCCCAAAGGTTTGTCTATTTATTTTAAATTTTCCAAGAAAATATTAGTGTCGCGGATAACAAAATTAGAGAGATGGGTTATTGTAAAATGGTTGCGTTTTTGAAGAAGTACGGTAATATTGATTACATTATCAAGGATTATGATTTTAGAATCATCAATAAGACTCAAATTTGACCAGGCTCAATCCAAAACGATCCAAATAACTTAACCAAAATGACTCATCAAATATATATGAGCAAACCAATTAATGTGAATATGAGAGCAAAGTTATATTATCATTGTTTTTTTTCTTTCACGAGTGCTAGATGGTATATTGGTATGAATATGAAATACTTAGACATCATTATGATTGCTTCAATACTCAGATGGTTGCTACCAATCTGCAACACATGACTGGATTCTAAGGCAGAATAGCTTGCTTCTTTTGCTTCACGTACATGTATATATTCTTTGTGGAAAAACTAGAATCTTTGACATATGTGAAAATTCTAGAGGAAGAACATCACGTTTTTTTTTTCTGAACACTTTCGTTTCATCTTTTCCTTCCAAGTAATTACAATCTCTTCAGGCACCTTGCCAATCTCACCAATGACCCTAATCCAGAATCAGTGCTCCTTCAATAGCAGACCGATCTTCTCAAGGGGCATTCTTAGTCTCGGGCAAAAACTAGTGTATAAAAACAGTCATCAGCACAGTCCACCCCCCGAAGAAGAAAATCCCAGCCTTTAAGTGGCACAACATAGACAAAAGCGCTTGGGCAATAAGAAATAAAGGTATATGTAAAGCTGAGAGCAACAGTCATATCTTGAGCAGCAGAACGTATCTCGAGCTGAAAGATTTCACTTGGCACCAACCATCCTAGAGGACCCCAAGAGAAACTAAAACTAGCACTATAAATGCCCAAAAGGATCAAAACTACATAGGAATATCCTTCACTTAAACTGCCATAATCTCCTAGCTTTGGTGAGAGTATATTTCCCACCACTATAGATGGGACTAACATTATTACACCACCCCAAACTTTGTCAACTGTTATTATCGAGAAAACGTCTGCAGCAATCTGCACAACCCTGATTACAACTGATGAGAGAAGGGACACAGACTCGCCATACCCGATGATGTGGAAGAGAACAGAAGCACAAAATCCCACCACGTTGATTCCTGTCATTTTTTGGAAAAACGGTATTGCTATAGCCATCACGAGCTGAGGTTTGTATTTCTACCGGACAATTAGATCATTGAGTGAGTGTTTGATGAATTTTGAGGTTGATGCTGCTTCTACGAGTCCATTCAGCTCTTCTTGGATATTAGTTGTACCCCGAATACTATTTAAGATAAGCTTTGCCTTTTGGTGATCATATCATTGTCCCTTTGGATCAAGCTATTGGGGAATTCAGGGAGGAAAAATGAACCAAAGTTATGACAAGTGCTGGTAGTGCTGTTGCAGCTATTGAGACTCTCCATCCCCAACCACTCTTTCATCTTAATGTATACATGTGGGAAGAAATTTTTCTGAAATGGATCCATTGATGTGATTCCACCTATACATTGTAAAATGTACAGCATTAGTTTTACGTTAACACTCTAACCTGGCTACAAAAATAGATGAGGTTTAAGGTTTTTCTGTCCTTTATGCATTGTTCTGCATAACACTAATGAGTAAGGATGCCAGATTTATAAGGATCTTAATTTCCTTTTGAAGGAAATACTTTGTAGAGTTCTCCAGATTAAGGGGCTATGCCGCAATGGTGTCAGGCTGATAACTACGAGTCTATGATAATACTACAATCTTGAAAAAAGAAAAGAAAATATGAGAAAAATACTCACCTAATACTCTGATGTCATAACCAAAAATGGCTCCTCCCAGGGCTGCCACTGTGCAGGAAAGCACAACAAAGCAGGTGATTTTGCCACTGCAGTGCACGTCTGGTTTGCTTGCTATTGTTAGTCCTCCTGCCATTACCATACAAAAGAAAAAGATACAGGTCGACCAACACTAGAACCCTAAACAGAGTTTTGGTCAGATGCTTAATATATAATATACTTTTCACATATTCAGCATCAATGGAAGGGGCACATATTCTAAAGCTTTGCAGCAAACCATTCTACAGGTAATAAAATTGGGGGGACATGACTTGCATTGAACATGATTGCATACATACATCTGTCAAGTTCTTTGTGAGGACAATGAAAACTCATTCACAGTGGGTATGAGAAAAATCAATTAGCAGAGTAAAGTACGACATAAATATTCCACTGCATGATGCCGTTATGTAGATATCTCTATAGCTAGCAAATCTCCCCGTTCCTTCAATTTGATAATGTGTAAATATTGTAATATTGCCCCCTATGATTTTCACAGCACCTCCTTTCTTCATGGAACTTTTATCATTCAAATCCCGATAAGACCTTTATGGCCAGCATAAGTCATTATCCATATGAAGACAGATCCACTTGCCATTCCCGCGAGGATGACCACCTAAGTAAGGATTTATCAATACATCATATGCTTTCTCCTTGAATATAGAAGAATTTAAGGTTGGAGGTACTTCGGCTTGTTACAAAATAAAAATAAAAGATAAATAGACTTCCAAACTTCTATATTTGAAGAAACTTGCATATATAGTTTTAATTATTTTATTTAGGTTTGATTTATACGGAGTGCCAAAGCACCTGAATTCATTAAAAAAAATTAAAAATTTATTAACGTAGTAGATAAGAAAGAAATCATACCCATTTGAATAAATATTCGTGATTGTCCCTCCATGAGTATGGGATGTTCATGCCAAATACCGCAGCTACCAAGGAATACACAGACAAGGATAGGGTCCCAGAGATGAGGCAAAGCTCTAGCTGCATCAATTTGAAGGAGAAACATTTAACACAGAAAAGTATCATACAGTATTAGTTTAGCAGCAATGAAAAACTAAGATTTGTACCTGAATCAGCTGATTTCTGTGGTTATCAAGCTGCAGTATTAGAAAGAGTGAATAATCAGATTACTCTGCAAGGAGCCTCTAAACAGAAAAACACATATACATGCTCTTTCTTGAAATAAGGTTACATTTCTCATGTATACTCCAAGACTACTAGTTCTTCCATCTCCCATACTCTTACCTGAATGTTAATGTAGTCCTCGGTATCATCAATATATTCACGAAGCTGAAAAGAGAATGTTTCATGTAACAGTTATATCACTCATGGAATTGAAAACACTGGAAAAAAATAACTAGGACAGCATGATAGGTACTTACAGTGGTCAGTTTGTTCATTGTGCTATCAATTTGCATAAAATAAGCCTGTAATGTGCCCCCAGAGAATTTTATCTTAAACTAAGTTCATCATTGCCAACAAAGAGACAAAGGCATATAGCAAGACTAATATCCTCACCTCCAACAGCATCTCAAGTTCCTCAACATCATTTTCCTCATGAGCTGATATCCCACTTGCTCGGCTTGTTCTGGACATCTTCGAACGGACGGCAGGTGAGGCAGGACACCAGTTTGGGGCACAAGAAATGCTGATAGGTGAAGAATTACGCGATAATTTTCTTGACAGGTAAAGATCTCCCATATCTTCATCATCATCTAGGAGTTGTTCTAGTTCATCCCTGACCTAGCCTCCAATTATATTACAAGACAAATAAAATAAGTGCTGCGGATATTTCCCAACAAGATACTTAACACAAATAATCTGTTATCAACTTCAAAGAACTGAAACAAAGCATCATTTATGATCAAGCAAGGTTTTACAAGGAAGTGTGGATTTCACAGCTCCAAAGAGTATAGTCAAGAATTACACCTTTTGAACCCGGTTTGTCAATCTTGTCATCGCACTCTTTAATTTACGCACTCTATCCAAATTCCGGCTACTAATCTGTCATCAATCTAAAGTCAGGCAAAAACATCCCATTCATCATAAATTCATAATCCTAGGGATAAGAAAGTGGCTATGATACCTCTTAAGATTCACGACTAAACTTATCAATACACTCAATATAACTCCTAGCAGAAAATTATAAAAAGATGGTAGAGACTAGGGAGCTTGCCTTAGAAGTAAGCTCATCTAAAGCTGGATAGGCATCAGTTTCCAACTCTGTGGTACGAGCATCGAGATAGCTACAAATTGCTTCTAGCATTACTTCTAGCGCCCGAAACTCGAACGGAAAATCTACATTTATTATTTTGTTACTCATTAATAATCAGCAATTTTAAAGGTATAAAAGTTAAGAGTAGTTTTACACCCTTCATCAAATCTATTGGCATTACAATTTTCGTTTTTCAAGCAACATCTCAATAAGACCACTATAACATAATTCTAGTACGAGATTTTTTAAACAATTGTCCATCATATATATCAACTAATCAAATTACCAGCAGCCTGCTCGTCCTCCTCTCCGAGCCCTTCGAAAAAGGCTCCTCGGACAGCCAATCTTCTTTGCAACTCCTCAACCACGGGAATCACATTTTCATCTAGTGGATCCCGAAGCCATACCTAAACCAATTTACATAAATAACAAATTAAAAAAATGTAACTTTCATAACAAATAAAACTTTGGTGCACGTATTGAGCGCACCCAACGAACATTATAGTTGATGATGTCTTGTACACCCGCTTTAGTTGGTTTACGTCCCAATACCAAAGGTGCTATAATGGGTGTCATATAGTGATATAGGCCATTTTTTCCAAAAGTAGGGGCTAATCATTTATACAATGATTGAAGTCAAACAATTGAATTTCCTTTACTAGCTCTAGCACGCATATGTTCACAGGTTCGAATCTTACGAATCACAACTTCACAAGAAATAATTGAAGTTTTTATTTAATAATTGAAATCGTTACCTCCTCTGCTGTGATGATTGCTTTGATATGCTGAAATCACACCAAAAACACATACAAATATCAGAATTTAAGATCAGAAAAACATAAAATGACTGAAAAAAAACATAATTAATGATAAAAAAAAATTAATTAACCTCCAAATTCACAATGATAGCTCTTTCTCTACCCAAAATAGTAGAAGGGTAAGACAACAGAGGATCCAAAATTCTCAAATCTCTAGCATGAATTCTCAAACGTCTAAGAATTGAGTATTTATCCAAGTCCAAAAATCTGCTTTCTCCTTCTGAATTGAACAAAACCCAGCTGCTGGAAACCAAAGTAATGTTCTTCAATGCCATAATTTCTTCAAATAATATACAAATTATCAAATGGGTCAGTGACAATTTCTTCAAATATTGCTCAAGTTATCAAATGGGTACTGAAGATTTCTTCAAAAATAGTTCAAATTTGCATGATTGAAGTGAATTAAACAGGTAAATTTGAAGAGGGTAAGGTGAAGAGAGAATAAAAATGAGAGGATAGGAAGAGAGAGAAAGGTGGGTTAATGGTAATGAGGCACTGATTAAGAGTGATAGCTGGTAAGAGAGTGTGAGTGCGATGTTTGGTGGTTATCATCAAATTTTGCATGGCATTTAGCGGCAGGTGGTGGGGTGGGGGAGGGATGTGCTTGCTGTGTGACTCACAAACTCTTGATGTGTTTAAATTTGTGGGCGGGGGCATTATGGGCATTACAACTTAAACAAATTTTCCGTGTTGGATTGGAGGTGACACATCGGATGATTTGGATTGGTTATAAACCATGTTATTTCAAGTCTAGTCGGATTAGTTGGAACTTTGAGTTTGATTCGTTTCTTTGCAAATAAGATAGTTTGGAAATTCAGGTCAGGTTGGTGTTAGATCAGCAAATAGATGCCTGTCGGGTTGACCGGTTTGGCTTATTTCGAGTTGAATGATTATTAGTCCAATCAACGTTTAGGACTTGAGGTGATTTAGTGATCTAATAACAAATTCAATCGAGTAATTACACAATTGATTTGGAGTGCAAAAACTTTGTAAACGGAATGATTATTGACAAGGTAAATAATCAATTAAATGAGCATTAACATCCATTTATCAATTTCAACATTATTGACCCCTACCAAGTCATTTAGACAGTTACAATTATTACTAACGCAGTAGTGAAGCAAGGTTGGCAGCTTTTACTTCATTTTAGTAATTTGAGAAATTTAGTACATATTGTACAACTAATAATAGGCCTACCTTCAAAGTTCAAAGTACCAATTTACAATGACTCGATGATTAACTAAAAGTACAGATATCTTCCATACTAAATTACTAAAATACCTTTTTTTATCATTTTCTCTCTCAATAATTTTAGTTTTTTTTTTTTTGAAAGATTTAATGCATAATAATGTAATACAGTATAAAGTATTAGGTTTTTAAAAAAAAATAAAAGAAATAAAAGAAAACGAAGTATTATTATTGATATGTAATAATCCTCTCATAAATGAAAACGATGTAGAGAAATAAGTTTGGACGTACCCAATGCAGCAATGCTTAATGCATGTGGGCCTTTGGATTGTCCAAGCCCAGTTAGTTATGTATTGGGCCTATTCGTAAATCATTTCTGTTTTCTAATTTGTGGTTTACCCACTTTCACACTAATTGAATGTAGGCTAATTAGCAATCTAAGATTACAAAATTCTGGAATTGAATGTAGGCTAATTAGCAATCTAAGATTACAAAATTCTGGAATTGAATGTAGGCTAATTAGCAATCTAAGATTACAAAATTCTGGAATTGAATTATTTGCCTAGTTTTATTTTAAAGTTTACTATTTCTTTGTGTTATTATATTATTGTTTTGTTCCGTCAATATATATATATATATAGGGTTGGAATCCAATGAGAAGTTTCTTAAAATGAGAAAGAAGAAATGTGCAAAAGTTTTTCACTAAATCTGCAAAATTGATTTTCGAACTAAATAAAAAATCTGAATTCTCTGGAAAATCAGAAAATGTGCGCATTATGTTCAAAATTATGCATATTGAATTTCTGGAAAATCAGAAAATGTGCACATTATGTTCAAAATTAGTTCGAAAAATATGGACATTCAATATAAAAATTATGCACATAACTCTTCCTCATCCTTCTCATTTTAAGGAACTTCTCATTTGACCCTCCCTCCCTCTCTCTCTCTCTCTCTCTCTCTCTCTCTCTCTGTGTGTGTGTGTGTGTGTGTGTGGGTGTGTATATATATACTACCTCCGGGTTTTTTTATGTGCAACTTTTGTCATTTTAGTCCGTTCACTATTATGTGCAACTTTCTCTTTTATTTCTATTTTGGGTTAAAAAAAACACTGAAAATTACTATATTACCCTTAATTAAAAATTCAGATTTTTATACTTTTACCCCTTATTACCCATAACCCCCACTTAACTCCATTAACCTACATTACCCTAATCTAATCCCTCCCTCCATTTATTCCTCCCAACTGACACAACTCTCCATCTTCCCAACCACCTGATTAAAAGTGATCTAGACTCTTCTTCTGAAGAACCCTAGATCTGGTTCTTCATCTTCCTCCTTTCTTTCGCCTTCCTCCTTTTCTCCTTTCGTTCGCCTTCCTCCTTTCTGTCGCCTTCCTCATTTCTTTCGCCTTCCTCTCCAGTTTACATCATGACTTCTCCCATTCCCTCACCTTTGGTTCAAAAACCAGATGACACCATTCCCCTGAGAGACCTTGATCCACTAATTGACGCCTACATTGGCACCGAGAACAACAGCGAGGCCACTTTTATCAAGTCCCTCATCAATGATCTCAACAGAGGCGATGATTTTCCCCGTCGCCTGTACGTGCATGAAGATGGGCCAAACTATTGTTCGCCGACCACTTTTAAGGCGTTAGGGGAAGTTCTGAAGAATATTGATGAGGCTGAGCAGAAAACGAAGGAGGAGGGTGTAGGCGAGTCTCGTGGCCATAAAAAGCTTGATTTTGATGTTGTTCGTGTAGATCTGGGGTCCCAAAGTGAGGATGGTAGTGCTGCGCCCCCTCCCGAGGCCCGATCTGAGCCTTCCAGGCCACCGACGAAGATTAGGCCACGTAGGAAGGCGGCCTTGGTGGCTCTGAGGTGTATTCGGGGTTTGCCGGAGCGAGAATTCGTCGTGCTTTCCTCTGATGAGGAGGATGAGCACTGACCCTTGCATAACTGTTCCTAACCCCAACTCTTAATTTTTATTTTTATTTTTAAAAAAATTTACCTTAATTTTTTGATTTTTTCCATACTGTATTGGTTTGCTTTGTTGTTTGGTTGTTGTTGTGGGAATGTTTGACTAGATCTGGTTGCATGATGGGTTTTAGGGTTTTTGGTGTTACCCTTGGTTATGTTATTTTGCTGTGTACTATTGGTAATTTGATGGGTTGATGCGTGTGTGGATACTATGGTTGGTTGAGTTTATTTAATGATGTTGTATGAATTGCCCGTTCTCTTCTTTTGTTGGAATGTACTGGGTTTCAAATACTCTGATTTGTAGTGATTTTTATGTTGATGATTTGGAAGTGAGTTGATGGGCATGTATTGTGTTGGGTGTGTGTAGGTGATTGTGTTGTTGTTGACTGCCATGGACTTAATTGGGTTATGTTTGAGGTTGGCTGTGTTGAGTTTATTGTGTTGTTGTTGACTGCCATGGACTTAATTGGCTTATGTATTGTGTTGGGTGTGTGTAGGTGATTGTGTTGTTGTTGACTGCCATGGACTTAATTGGCTTATGTATTGTGTTGGGTGTGTGTAGGTGATTGTGTTGTTGTTGACTGCCATGGACTTAATTGGGTTGTGTTTGAGGTTGGATGTGTTGAGTTTATTGTGTTGTTGTTGACTGGGATGTATGATGTTGGCAAAGTGGATTTGATTGATGAATGATGAGGCTGGTATCTTCTACATGTAACATTTCTTCCTAGTCAGTCCCTTACAATGAGTCCCTTACAATGAGTCCCCTGTTAATAGGTCCTGGTTTGTTTTGAGTCCCATAATCTGATTTGACATTCACCTTACCCAAATCCACATGATGAAGGACTCCATTGAATTTGACTAAGCACAAGTGAATTGCTCCAACAACATGCATAATGCAGTTGTTGTTGAGGTATCCTTGTGCATTAGTGTAGTATTCAATAATGACTATTAACCCCTCTGATGGATTGAATGGCCCCAACAATTGTCTGTCTTTGTCATTCATTGCTACCATTTAAAATGTGGGTACAAAAGAGCATACCTTTGAGTAATTAAGAAAGTACATTACAAAAGACCATACCATAATCTAAAGACTTTACAACATACTGCCTTACATGTTTTGATAATTGTAATCAACAAAATACACCTAACCACTTGGTACTTCAACATTTGAAATAAAACACAAATAAACAAACTTACATAGGTAAGTGGTTATGTGTGGCAGTACATGTGTTGTCTTTTTCTTGTATTGAGTCCCCTAATCTGCATCCACCTCCAATTCTTCTGTGACTTCTTCATTGCCCTGATTAGCTGGCCTAAACATAGTGTGTAGATACTCCACAGCCTCCACTACTACCTCCTTCTGGACTACAACTATTTCTGGTAGAATGCCAATATTCTCAAGCTTTTTCTTGTTCATATGTGGAATCTTGTACTTGTTACCACCTTCTGCCTTCAGTATTTTAATCATGCAATTTTGCAAAGTAACCTAGATGTACTTGTTAACCTCTGGATTGAATGTGTCATAAGAGTCTTTCACCTTTTGGACAAGCTCATCTAAGTCTTTAGGAAAAGACTGATATTGCAATGATTGTATAGACCTAAACAGCCCCTAATCAAGCACATTCAAATCAGGTGATTGTGCTGGCTGAAAAATAAATTGAATGTTGAAGCCATTTGTGGTAGTAGCTTCAATGAACTCTGCATCCCTTGGAACTTGGTGAGGCCTAGCATTGTCCCATTGGATTACCACATCCTTGGCCAGACTTTCTGGCCACTTTGACTTGATGGCTGGAATAACTTTTGTGAGCAACATCTCCCTGATTAATTCTCTGTTTATATTCTGTAGTGCCTTTGTTTCCAAAGTCCCTCTTGGCCTTTTCTTGCTTGATTTCTGTGCTAATTGCTGCACAGTGAATGGGAAGATGCCATACTTCCCATCATGTAACATTTCACCATCTATGCCATATAATGGCTTCCCTATAATTGCCATGAACATGGCCTTTAGCTTGAATCTTCTTGACTAAACTGCCATGTAAGGATCCTCCTCACTTGGCAGTAGATAAAACCTCCTTTTATCAGGGTTCAAGTAGAACCACTTCTCATCACAGTGTATGACATTCCTCATGTCAACAAATGTGGGGTCCTGATTTCTTGTAAATGGATTTATGTGTGACAAAATCCATCTAAGTCTGGCCACCTTATGGTCTGATGACAGTGCTGGCTTGTTGCAGGCTGTGTGTGTTCTTAGCCTTCCTCTCCTCTTCAAATTGTGAACTGTGCTATGACTGATCTTCAGTGCTCCTGCATAGCTCCTTTCAGTCTGCCTTAAATGTAATGGGACTGACTGTAGAATTTCATCAGAAATTTCCATTGGCTTTCTCCATGTTTTGCCAATTTTTTTAGT